CCTTGCATATCTTTGCTCAACAGACATGATGGCTCTCCTGGTGGGGGTTTTTTTAACGTGGTGTACTACCCAACCTGATTGAAAATACTTTACTTGATGGCTTGAGTGAAATCAGTTACAGTCTCTTTTTATTTCTCTTATCCCTGTGTTCAACCTAAAAATGGAAGTCCTATTTTCTTTCTATAAGCTTTTTAACATTATTTGATATTCAAATGCTATTCCCTAGCATTCGAATATCAAAATCTAATTTGAATATCAATCTAATTTGCACAAAAGAATGTAGAGAAAATGGCTCACATCAGGAATGTTGACTGAAGAGACTTATATATGGACATACATAGAAACTATACATACATGTATGTATGTATGTATGTATGTATGTATGTATGTATGTATATGTTTTTCCTCTAGCCAGGTTTTTCCTACGTAACCAAGGTTTTTCTGCAGCCCTAGCTCAGTAGAATCACATCCACTCGATTCTGGGCTTTTTTCTTTCTGGCAGCCAGCAAGTTCTTGCTGCCAGGTGAGAGACTTATAAAGATATAAAGATATAGAGAGAGCTACAATGGCATTACAGACATGGGTGGGAGGTCTTTACATTGTTCCAGTTTGGATTTGTTTTTAACCCTGCTTGGTCTCATTTTAATTTCTTCTGCTTGGAAAGATCTTCTCACTTCCACTTTTACCACCTAAATAAACTGTATTTCCAACCAAATGCATGAATGAATGAACATTTCAGTGAACAGCTGTGTTTATCCCAACATCAGATCACTGGCAAAACAAAACATTTGTTTAAATTGTTGCTAGTTCAAAAGTTGATCTCTCTTTTATCCCATTACTGCTTTGAGTTTGCAGTTTGTAATGAGGAACATTATGAAACGTCTTGTGAATATACAAATAAACTATATGTATCGGGTCACTCTCTCCACATTTCTGTTAATATTGTTGGAGAACTCTAAAAGTTATCCTCAAAGACCATTCTTGCTGCTATATAGCATGATTTGTATATTCACAAATCGTATATTCACAACATTTTCTTGAATGTTGCCTGATCATGGCAGGGGGTTGTTCCTGAGAGGAATCAGAGAAAAATGCCAAGAACATCAAAAATGTATAGTCCCAGCAGTGTCACCTCATGAAGTTCATCCCTTGATTCTCACCAGCTTAAGGTTGACTCAGATCTTCATTTTTCTGAGATCAGTAAAATGGGGACCCAAATTGTTGGAGGCAATATGCTGACCACTTAGAGAGGGCTCTAAAGCACTGTGAAGCGATATATAAACTTAAGTGCTATTGCTATTATATCATGTATTTTACCAAGAAAAAACACATGTTAGACAAGGTAAAGCGATTAACAAAAATCTTAGGAAGGACTCAACAACATATGTCTAGCAGTGGAATCTCTTTAAGAAAATGGGAATCCCACTGCCCTCTTAAGAAACCTTTTATAAGGAGCCATGGAGGTGACCTTGGGAAAAGTATTCAGAAATCATTACTACATCAATAGGTCTGAAACAGGGGTGGGTTCTACTTACCTTTACTACCAGTTCGCAACGGGGCCGTGTGCATGCGCAAAAGCTTCTGCGCGTGCACAGAAGCGTTTTGATGATGTCGGGGTCAGTGGGTGGGGCCTCCTGCCAGTTTTATTACCGGTTGTATAGAACCAGTGCGAACCGGGGACAACCTACCACTGATCTGAAAACATATTTAAAGCCCAAGAAACGGGGAAAATATTAGAAAGAGACTCAGATTGGCTCCTCTCTAACTCCCTGGCATATAAGAAAAATTGTAAGGAAAATGATGACAGGCTTACAAAAATCTATTACGATATGGTTGTAGTCTTCTTCTGGGTCTGTTCCAGTGGTGGGTTTCTACCGGTTCGCCCTGGTTCGGGAGAACCGGTAGCAGCAGTGGCAGGAGGCTCCACCCACCCACCCGGACGTCATCTCGGATGCTCTGCACATACATAGAAGGTTCTGCGCATGCACAGAAGCATGCACGCTCACAGTTCCGAACCGGTAGCAAAGGCAAGTGAAACCCGCTACTGGTCTGTTCCCTGAACTGGTCAACCCTGAATGGTTGAAACCTATTCAGAGAATAGGAAGTCACAGTCCAGACAGAACAAGGGGAAACCAATGGGTTCCAGGCTGGCAAAAGTGTGAGACAAGGCTGTATACTGTCTCCTTATTTATTCAGCCCATATGCTGAACCTATATTGAAAGAAGTTAAATTGGAAGAAGATGAATATTTTTTTAAAAATGGAAGAAAAACATCAATAACCTGCACTATCGATGATGCTACTCGGATGGTTGACAATGCAAATTGTTTGAAAGCTCTAGTAATGAAAATCAAAGATAACAGTAAAAAAAAATAGAGGCTAAGATTAAATATAAAAAGAACATAAAAAATAACAGATACAGCCACCAGCTTTACAACTGACAGTGAAGCTATTTAAGTGGTTGATAACTTCTGCCTTTTAAGATTGACTGTCAACAGTAAATATCCACTGTAGACTAGCACTTGGTAGGAGAGCAATAAAAGCCTTGGAAAGGAAACTCAGATGCTGTAATGTTATAAACCTACAAAGATCAGAATTGTGTAAAGAATGGTTTTCCCTATGACAGTCTATGGAAGTGAAAGTTGGACTTTCAAGAAGCCAGATGGATAAAGTATTCACACTTTTGAACTATGATGTTGGGAAGACACCTGCCAATATCATAGAAAGACAAGAAAATGAAAAATGGATCATAGAACAACCCAACCCAGATTTGTCACTCAAGGTACAAATGCCTATGCTCAAATTTTCATATTTTGTGCACATTATGTGAAAATTCAGCTCCTTTGAGAAATCAGTATTGTTGGGAAAAGTGAAAGGCGAAAGAATAACCAGCAGTAAGGTGGATGGACTTCATTACAGAGGAGATGGGTACATAGAATGGCCAGGCTGAGTATAGACCAACACTATCCATGTGGTCATTAAGAGTCAACACTGATATAATGTGTATTAATATGTCAACTAAATTAGAACGAAATATTCTCTATAATGTATTAAAAGGAAGAGGACCAAGTTCTAACATATATGGATCTCATTGGTAAAGTAGGGCTAATTGCAATCTCACAAACCCCAGATGCTGTTCTGAAGATAAAAATGAGCAGTGAATCCATATATTCAAAGAAAGGGTGGGATTTAAATATAATAAATACATTTTTTTAAAAAAAAAGTTGAAGTTGTTGTTCTCCAAGCCATTTCAGAATTTTAAATATGTAGGACTAGGGTTCTCTGGTTAGAATTGTTAAACTAAATAGTTGCTGATATTTCCCACTGAACTGGGATTCTGATAAAGCCCATCCTGATTTTTTTCATAGTGGGTGACTCCCTCTAAACAGAATCTGGGTCAGGTGTGGGCAATTATGGCCATTTTATGACCATAGACTTCATCTCCCAGAATTCCTGAGCCAGCCACAGGGTGTAAAGTTGCCATAGTTTCCTACCCCTTATCTTGGCCATAGTCAAGAGTTTCTCTGAACAGAAATATTTCCAGATTTGGAATTCAACAGCTTCAAAAAAGTTCCATAGAGTTCAGAATTATATTGGATGAGCTGACGTCTAGAACTAGAATAGAACTAAGATAATTTTCTAGTCTTTTTTTTTTCTTGAGATCAAGACTTTCTGAATGCAAAATATATGTTCTATTGCTGAAGTATAGTCCAAAGAGCTTCTGAAATTATTCCAGGTCCATTTTAGAAACTCAGAAGTAAACAAAAATGAGATCCATTGGGCAAATCACCAAATCCCTATACCAAATACATATACCAGTAATGACCAAATACATATACCAATAATGACATTTGAACTCTCTGTGCCTTCTATACAAGAAAGTCGCAAGAGTTTGACACTCTAATAACCTTTCACTAAGACAATTCTGCAGCTGGGAAATTTAATAAATTTTTGAGAGGATTCTACCTTTAAATACTCCTCGGACATTTCAGTTGACATAAAGTGGAGCAGCTCATGCATGGATGGTAAATGCCATGAACGTACATACTGTATTTGTCCTGTGAACTCTATGTACCTGGGTTGCCAGAAAGGTTCCAACTACAATTTAAAATGTTGATTTTAATATAGAAAGCCCTGTTGGCCTAGAACAGTGGTTCTCAAACTTAGCAATGCAAAGATGTATGGACTCAGCCAACATCGTAAGTTTGCCAAGTTTGAAAATCTCTGGCTTACAGCCCTGGCACATTCAAAGACATATTACCACCACCTTCTACAACTAGAACTGACCGGTCCAATAAACCAAAAAAAAAAAACATGTTGGTAATCTGAAGGGCCAACCAAGACTAGGAGGAAATCCTTTTCATTATTGCCCTGGTGAAATAGTTTAACATTGGACATTCCAGCAATAGGTTAAAACAGAGGTCTTTTTAATTAGCTAGGATAACACCTTTGGAATTATATGTTCCAGATAATTGTGAATATTCTTCTTATAGGATGGCATACAAGTGAAGAAAATATATTAATATTATATTATACTCTGGTTTGTTTATTTATTGTAAACCACTAATAGTTATGTGAGTGCAGCAGTATGAAAATCAAATAATATCCCGATATTGCAAGTTTCTGCCAGTTCAATAAGAGAGTAACTCTATTAAATTTCTGCTGAAAAACAATCATTTTCTGATTATCAGGACTAAGCCCTAGCAAGCCCTAATGAATTCTGTGCAATGGATGTATAGTTTTCCCTTTATGGAAAAGAATAACTGCTAAGCAATATAACATAAGAAAAAAAAACATAAAATAAAATGTTTAGGTTTATTAAACTGTTTTTAATAATACCCTTGAATCGTTTTTCTAATTGGAATATGTTACATTTATACATTTATATAACCATCTCACCATCATTCTGAGGACTGATTTGGAGTAAACATTCTGCATATTTAAGGCCCATTTTATATGGGATATTCAACCCATATCAAATTAAACTGAAGCTCATGGGATATGAAGAATAAAACATATAACTTTATTGCATCCAAAACTATAATCCATAAAATACATTCTTGATTTAAGTTATTCAGATAAGGCACCAGAACACTGAAATGGAAACCAATACAAATTTTATATACATTGCCTTTACTTTAGCTTCTGTGTGCACGTGCGTCTGTGTGTGTGAGAGTGAATGCTAGCGCAAAGGAGTTGTGACATTGCAAAAACCTGCATTGCCACTGCAAACCCCATTTCAATCCACATCCAATACTCTTAAAGTGCTATCTTGTCCCTGACTTTAATAACGGAGCCAACCTAATTCAAGAATATATTGGGAACTTCTGTTCAAATCTGGCTCCATAGATTCTGAACTGTCAATGTGAAGAAAACAACTGCAGTTTGTCTGGAAGAAGAAAAATAAGTATTGGGTAAAAAAAAAAGAAAGAAAATGTGTTCTTCTGACTACATTTATAGTTCAGGCATTTATAGTGATTGGATCTGAGTAGCCCTTACATTTTTTTGAGGAGTTCCCATTTTTCTCTCTGTTATAAACAAATCATTATAGACACTTAGAGCAACGTTGTTTTCTAGAAACACTGACTTTGCAAACTAAAACTTAATGAAAGAGGCAGTGCAGTTTCAGTGTTATTTCTGTAGATAGCTGTGAATTTCCAGTTTTCAGAAGAGATTAAATAAACCAGAAAAGATAGTGAGCAAACAGAATGCTGAGAAGAAGAAAAAATGGCTTACTACATTCTGTGTACTGTCCAGATATTTTAAGGTGCCAAAGAACATTTACCATTAGTTTTCATCTCTCTTAGGTTTCCAATAAATCTTAAAAAAAAAAAAAAAACTTAAAGCAACTGAATGCCCAAATTAATTCCAAAGTATTTCCTTCGCCTGATTGTCATTAGTAATTAAGGATCTTAACTAAGAATGTCGTCAAATTGAGGGAAAAAGTTCCAGTTGATAATTATCACTAGGCTATGTGGGAATTATAGTGCAAGGTCCTCTTGATTAATTGCACTAAGAAGTATTAGGAATACAAATCCCATTCACCATAGGATAGAGAAATATTCATAAGTTCCCAGAATGTTCCAGGTCTTTTAAGAATGAGATTTACACATAAAAACTTGGATGGGACACCTAACTCTAGTTTTAAAACAGGCTGAGGTAGCTCATGTATTACCGCTTGAGGAAATAAACCATATTTGCTGATCCCCTGGACTTTCTAGTCACCACTGAAATGCTCAAATATACAGTTGTAGTACTGTGATGATTAAGAGAAGGAAGGATGAACTGCAAGGATGAGAATTCCTATCACTGTGGAAAATATGGATTTTCTTGGAATCTGGATGGAGTGCTCTGGCATCTTCCAATGCCTTCTGTGCTGCTTGAGTAAAATTAACATCTCCTGAAGTCATCACATCAAAGACACATGACTGGAAGTAGACGTCTTCAACTGGTAGCTTCTCCTTACATAGCAGATGAGCTTTCTTTCTGGTCAGGCTGCCTTTTGGGTGACAGCAGTTATGTATAGAGATGCGTTGGCTGAGATAGCATCCTGACATACACAGCTGGAGATCCTGTTCATCTCGGAAGGAGAATGCTATCTCCTTAGCTATCCGGATGGAGAAGGACAGGTGCTTCCCTACCTGGCGCACAGCAATGGTGGTACCAATGTATGTTGCTTGGATTGTTATGTGCTGTCCGGGTATATGTTCATGAATGGTTAAGCTATTCCCTCCAGGTTTCTCACCACCATTCACTGAACCATCTGCAAATGCTACTGGCAGGTTGTCCATTTCTGCCTGGTAGACTTTCTCTTCAATGCACTCTTTCATGTTTTTAAATATAATGGTAAGCTGCAAAGGAATAATAGCTTTAAAATACAAGGGATAGTTCAGATAGATAACTTCTCTCAGAGCCATTCAATGACCAGTTCATATATTACCATCCAAAGGGAACACACATCAAGTTAAAAACTAAGATGCATTTTCTTATGTAACTGAAGAAAAGAGGGTAACACAAGTACACATCACCCCTTATCAGGAGACCTGATAAACTTAACTACCATGCTCTATCCAAAACCACAACTTTGCCTGAGAATCACAGTGCTGGATTCTGTACTACAGAAGAGAGACAAATTAGGGGTCTCCAACCAGGGGTGAAATCCAGCAGGTTCTGACAGGTTCTGGAGAACCGGTAGCAGAAATTTTGAGCAGTTCAGAGAACCAGTAGCGGAAATTTTGAGCAGTTCGGAGAACCAGCAAATACCACCTCTGGCTGGCTCCAGAGTGGGGTGGGAATGGAGATTTTGCAATATCTTTCTCCCAGGAGTGGGGAAGGAATGGGATTTTGCAGTATCCTTCCCCTGGAGTGGGGTGGGAATGGAGATTTTGCAGTATCCTTCCCCTGCCATGCCACCAAGCCACATCACGCCCACCAAGCCATGCCCACAGAACCGGTAGTAAAAAAAATTGGATTTCATCACTGTCTCCAACAACAGCAGCATCCTCCCCCAAATACAAAAGGGTCCAGTTTACCTATGGCAGAACATACTGTGATTCAGAAATTAGCAGAAAAGCAGAAAGCTTTTTTTCTGAAAAAAGCAGAAAGCATACAATGTCTTGTGGGGTTTCTGGAAAAACAAAGGAGCATAAGAAGATAAACTGCTTCTTCCATTATGTGTTGATATTAACCTGCTTCCAGCCATGTTCTTTCACCAACTATAGTAAAGTACATTGGCTCTTCAGAGCAATTTGGTTCAGATATCAGGAAGTGTTGCCTGATCTGGGGGATCTCCAAGCTTTCAACCAGAGATGGGCTAGTCCTAGCTATTTTTTTTTTAATTTGATTTATATGCAGCCCTTCTCCGGAGACTCAGGGCGGCTTACAATGCATTAAGCAATAGCCTTCATACTTTTGTATATTTATACAAAGTCAGCTTATTGCCCCCACAATCCAGGTCCTCATTTTACCTACCTTAGAAAGGATGGAAGGCTGAGTCAACCTTGAGCCTGGTGAGATTTGAACTTGCAGTAATTGCAGGCAGCTGATGTTAATAACAGTGCTTTAGTCTGCTACGCCACCAGGGCTTTATTTAACTAAAGGTGACTGAACTATTTTAGGAATAATGACAACTTCTTTGATCCAGTCAGCCCACTGAAAGCTCCAATAATGTTAGATCCTTGCTAATGCTGAGAATTATATCAGAAATCTTGCATCAGCGACAGGAACAGATTTCAAACCTAGTATGCCAGCAATACTCACATCAGTTATACACCCACTACTTAGGTTCAATTTCCTGATTGGAGAGGGCAAAGAATGTTTTCCAATCTATGAAAAAAGGCTCAAACACATTCCTGAATTATCAGAGGAAACCAAGGAAAACTTTGGTAAGGTATTGGCTGGGATCAGATACAGGTAATTTAATTGACTTACTACCACAATTGAGTGCAAAGTTTCTATTGCTAAACAAGACAGTTGTTAAGTGAATTTTGCCCCATTTTACAACCTTTCTTAAGTAAATTACCACAGTTGTTAAGTTACTAACAGGGTTGTTAAGTGAACCAGGCTTCCCTATTAATTTTGCTTGTCAGAAAATCACAAAAGGTTATCATATGACTTCAGAACACTGCAACTGTCCCAAATACTCTGAATCTTGATCATGGGGATGCAATGGTTGTAAGTGTGAAAAATGGCCATGAGTTACTTTTTTCAATGCCATTGTAACTTTGAACTATCACTAAATGAACTGTTATAAGTCCAGGATTACCTGTAATGCAAGCATAATGAAGCTTGTTTGATTTTGACAGTTGCTACAATTTCACCTTTACCATCCTCCAAAATTAAAAAGAAAAAATCAAATCACACCAGAAAAATCAGCTTTTTTGACAGTATTTTCTCAAGCTGTTGGGAATTCTCAAATGGGATGCTGGGATATACAATCACCCTATTGGCTGCCCAACCCCAATATAAAAGAGTGTAATTCTACCTTGCCAATTCCAGTGACATTTGATCCTTTAATGATAGGATAACTAGTGGCTTGCACAAACAGATTATTGTTGTCCAGAAGTGGCCAGGAGCCTTCAACTCGGCAAGTGTAGAACTCATCACTGACGGTCCGGACATGAGGATCCCCAAAGACAGCACAATACTGGTATGTGGGGGACTGGCCATGTTTGTGGATAAAACTCTTCTCATAGTCACAGGTGTCTGTGGATGGGAAATCATGTTTGTTGGGTGCCAGTGCTGGAGGTCTGGGCACTGCTGTCGGCCCTTCCTTGGAACAGTTGTTCTGAATTATGAGGTCTTCAATGACATAAACAGCTGTGTGGTATGCCAAGTCCCCGCGACAAGTGCGGGCTGTCCTCCGGGTGCAGCTGGAATAGGCGCTCAAGGCATTACAATAGGCAGTGTTCCTTTTAGAGTTATGCCTGTTTGCTGTGGCATCTATAAATTCAGAATTACACCGTGAAATCTTGCATTGGGAATCAACTGTACCAAGGGAAATCAAAAGAAACCATTAGAAATAAGACCGTAGATTCATCCTTCAACATCCTTTGCAAAAACTGCAAGAATTTCCTCCATAATACTTAACTCATCTCCTAGCAATTTCATAAGCAAAACCTGGTCATCTGGCCCAAAAGTTTCCAACACTTTTAAAATGTCCACTGGAATTAGGCAGCCAATACATTTAAATAAATAATAAAGTTCTAGATAACATGGGTTCCAGTGGTGAAATCCAAATTTTTTTACTACCGGTTCTGTGGGTGTGGCTTGGTGGGCGTGGTATGGCTTGGTGGGTGTGGCAGGGGAAGGATACTGCAAAGTCTCCATTCTCACCCCACTCCAGGGGAAGGATACTGCAAAATCCCCATTCCCTCCCCACTCTTGGGGGAAGGATATTGCAAAATCTCCATTCCCACCCCACTCTGGGGCCAGCCAAAGGTGGTATTTGCCAGTTCTCCGAACTAATCAAAATTTCCGCTACTGGTTCTCTGAACTGCTCAAAATTTCCACTACCAGTTCTCCAGAACCTGTCAGAACCTGCTGGATTTCACCCCTGATGGGTTCTGAATACAACAGAGAATGCCTCCTGTATAAATTTCTCAAATCAGAAAGAAATAATTCACTCTATGTTCACTCTTCATTGTTGTCTATTTTTCTGCAACTTTTCTGTGCTTCCCCACATCCATCCCTGTTGGAGATCACAGGATATTTCCCCCCCCCCCTTTTTTTTTTTTAGCAAGAAAGCTATCAGAAAGCTCCCAGTTGGGAGGACACAATCAAACAAGGAATTTGCATGGATTCACTACATAAACACAAGAGGACAAGGTCTGACACATCTCCCTACCCCATTCCTTTGAACATAGTTTTTCCCAGGCAAAATTGCCAGTGTGCGAAGATGCTTGTAAAATAGATATAGAACAATAAAATAGCTAGTTTGAACTCTACATGTGTGGGTCTGGTTGTTCATGTCTGACAAAAGCATTTCTACATATGAGAGGCCTTCTCCAAGTTGGTTCTCTTCAGACATAATGACTCCAACTCCCATAAATCTCCAGTCACTATAGCAAAACTGGCTGGAAAGTTATAGGTACAGCCATCCAACTAAGAAGACCTCCACACAGGGACAGGAATATAAGGACTTCTCTAGACCATTAGTGTATCAGAATGGCCCTCTTTTGGATAATGATGTTTTATAGCATTTTTATAACAAATGATCCAGGAGATCAGAAATGGAAGGAGGCTCTTATAGAAAACAGGACAATGCACTCATAGACCTAAATGTTTCAAACAAAACCAAAAATAAGACTTCGTTTGACTATTACATTGGTGGTCCAATCTCTATTTTGAGACAAAAACGCATGAAAACTGTAGCTTCAAACTGTATCCCGCCCCCACCCCTCACCCCCAAATAAACAAGAAAAAAATCCAGCCCTCCTCATTTTCAAGGGTATTTTGCTTGATTCAAATAAAGGTTGTCCAGGGACAGAGGCAATAGAGTCTCAATAGGACTGTCAGTGAGAACAACAAATGTCAAGCTAATATAGTTTTTTTGCTGAGTGAAGTTTAGAATAGAATAGAATAGAATAGAATAGAATAGAATAGAATAGAATAACAGAGTTGGAAGGGAGCTTGGAGGTCTTTTAGTCCAACCCCTTGCTCAGGCAGGAAACCCTATACCATTTCAGACAAATGGTTGTCCAATCTCTTCCTAAAAACTTCCAGTGTTGGAGCCTCCACAACAACTTCTAGAGGCATGTTGTTCCACTTGTTAGTTGTTCTAACTGTCAGGCACTTTCTCCTTAGTTCTAAGCTGCTTCTCTCCTTGATTAGTTTCCACCCATTGCTTCTTGTCCTGCCCTCAGGTGCTTTGAAGAATATCTTGACTCTCTCTTCTTTGTGGCAACCCCTGAGATATCGGAATACTGCTATCATGTCTCCCCTTGTCCTTCTTTTCATTAAACTACTAGACATATCCAGTTCCAGTAACCGTTCCTTATATGTTTTATCCTCCACTCCCCTAATCATCTTTGATGCTCTTCTCTGCACTCTTTCTAGAGTCTCTACATCTTTTTTACATCATGGCGACCAAAACTGGATGCAGTATTCCAAGTGTGATCTTACCAAGGCATTATAAAGTGGTACTAACACTTCACGTGATCTTGATTCTATCCCTCTGTTTATGCAGCCTAGAACTGTGTTGGCTTTTTGGCAGCTATAGCACGCTGCTGGCTCAGCAGTTTGGGTGGAGAACAGTTTGACCCTAATTTAGAACTAACCCCCCAAAATAATTTAGAAGCAAATCTCTTACCATGTTTATATAATAGGAGGAGGACCAGCAGTTTAATGAAGAAGCTTGGATTCATTGAGTAAAGCAGATTCATGCAGCAGGCTGATTGCTTTCTTTTGAACCATTCAGTCATTTTGGAAGTTAGTTGATCATTCAAGTCTCTCCTCACCTTTTCTTTCCACTGGTTTGCTGTAAATAAACAAAGACTGAAATAAATCTTGTTGGTGTTCTCCAGCTTTATGCCACACAATCTGGCCTCTTGGAACATTGCTGTCCTCTGTTTTTTTTTTAAGTTCTTACTTTGAATTCTGTTAGGGCGAAAGACATGAAATTATTCTTTTTTGGTATTTCTATCATCGTAGTACACTGAGGCCATCAAACTTCTACAAAGGCAATTCTTACCTGAAGTAATTGGAAGGCATAGTTACCTATGGTTTCTTTTTCAGACCAGTGACTAGCTTAGAAATCTCTACTTCGCAGTTCAGTGAAGTATTTCAGATTCTTCTCATACTCTTAGCAGCCCTCTCTGGTGACTTGAAATGTGCTCCAATATAAAAAGTCCTTTGCAACAAGCTATTCCTTTTGAGGGTTTCACTTTTCAGCCAAGATGGAAGATTCTTGACTTAAACAAAACAAGGTAGAGGAAGATACGTTCTTCCCCTTTTATCCACCCCCCAACATCAATCAAAGAACGTGGAAGATTTCAGGCTGGCAAACCACCATCAAAACTGTAAACAATCATTCACACAACAATGTCTTTGCCCACCATTTTGGTGGGCCAGCTAATTGCAGGTATATTTTGCCTTACTCTCTGATGAGCTTCCATTGGTCTCTTGTTCAAGAGCACTACAGCAATCAAGAAGAATCTTCTTTCAGTGTCCAGTCAACCGGTTCCTCCATTCCTACTGTCCAGGGCTGATTTTAACAAGGACTTAGTGACAATCTACACATCCCAATCACATTTGTGTGCTACTTTCACTAAAGTCAATAAACTATGCCAGAGACTTTGCCCCTGTTTCCAAACTTGGTTTGGATGGTTAATGATCAACCAGTTGATACAATATCTGCATACAATATCTCTATAACAAGATGACAGAACCCAAAAATATTTAAGATTTCACAATAGGTAGCAAAGTTTCAGAGAAAGACCCCTGAATCACCATTGAATCACTGAATGAATCCCTCCCATAAGAAGCCCAAGAGCTGGCTTGTGTATCTCAGTTTGCAACATAAATTCAAACAATTCATTCCTCATCAGTTCAATTCATTCCTAATCAGTTAAGTTAATGATCTAGGGGCTGAATAAGGTGGGTTACCTAAGAGCTGTGACTTAGTTGTAAAAATCTATCCCATTTGGTTTGGTTACCATTCAATATATTGCATAAACTCTGATACAGAAATAGGTTAATTCAGTGATTAACTTCAGCAAGGTTGCTGAACTAACCCACTTTCTGAGTTTACACAGTATATTGAATGATAAGATAATCAAATGGGATAGCTTTGCAAAAAAGAGACTTGTAGTTGTATGGAGGAAAAAAGTATGGAATAGATAGTTCTATGTACACTGCCCTAAATTTCTGGAAGGTAGACTATAAATATAATAAATAATCATTTTACTCACCTTTGCTCTTAAAGAGAAAATTATCAAGTCCTACAAGTACTTTTAAGGCTTACAATGTGCACATGTAGTTGAAAAGAGAGATACCACAATCCACAGCTCTTGAGTCACCCTTTTCATGTTTCTCAGATCTTCTTCCTCATTATTATGACTCCTAAAAATTAACAGCTTGGTTTTCTGTTATCTTGAAGAAGGAAACATGTGAGAACTACTAATGCAAATTATAAAATAAGGATAACACAGTTTAAAGGAAAACACCATCAATTCCATTCCAAATCCTGCCTTATCCAGACAAGGTCATGCCTGCCTTGTGGTTCTCAAGCCTCCCAATGTTGCATGTGGCCATTGGCTACCAAATGGTTGTCAAACCTGAGTTACATGAATCAGACCATTATTTCTTATTCAACAAAGGAACATTTTAGCACATCATGAGCTCAGCTTTTTAGGGGTGTCTACATTGAGCAGGTAGAATACTGGTTCACATAATTAAATATGTTTTATTTATCTTCAAAGGATTCTGAAAGAAGCAGATTATCTGAACCTATTACAGACAGGTTTCAGGCCAGGAGACATCATTGACTGCATTTGTTGATGAAGTGAAGCAGTCTGTCCTGGTGGGACCTTGGAAGTAGTCTTCTTTTTTATGGCAATTGCCTTATAGAACAGCCTTCCCCAAGTGATACACATGGCCCCAAATCCTGATGGCCTTCAGGAATGCAGTGAAGAACTGGTTTTTCCTCCAAACTCTGGGGCCCAGATGCTGATAGACCCACTAGGTGGAGGAATCAGCAAAGGTGCAGCAATTCATGCTGATATGTCCTGCTGACTGGGGATGGGTTGACAGCGATTCAACTGAGCAATAGGGAAGAGCGCCAAGTCAAACATTCATATTGCTAACTTAACAACTGCAGTGATTCAGTTAATAACTGTGGCAAGAAAGGTTGTAGAATGGGGCAAAATTCCCTGACAATTACCTTGCTTAGCAACAGAAAATTTTGGCTCAGTTGTGGTTGTAAGTCGATGACTACTTGTACCTGATGATACCCAGAGAATAACAGAGAATATGGACAATATTTCCCATTAGTAAAACAAATTTCCAGCAGAATTCTCAATGGTGCATATATACACCACAGCAGGTTTTTTTGGCATTTTGCTTCTATAAGCACAAAAAGAAGTTTAAGTCTCCCATGAAGAAAATACTTTACAACAGCTTCCATCAAATAAAGTGTGGAATGTATATGAAATGAGAACTGAAGTCTCACACAACTATTACTTTAAAAAGAACTCTAAAAATCAAAGAATCAAACTGTATTTTTGCTCTTTTAAATCACAAGACAATACATTTACCACCTTATCAGAATTCCCTATGAGCTCTATGATTAATACCATTTGCTTTTAGTAAGAAAAAAAATCCATTTTGCTTATGTCTGTATTCTTCTTTCTGTAAAGTTTTACAAATAGCATAATGTTAACAAAACTTCCTCTGTCCTTTGGCAACTTTGATTTGATAGGAGAGCTTTTTCATTATCATAAGTTTGCCAAACTTTTTTCAGCGATTTTATGTTAGCATAGCAGCTCTTTCCCCAAAATCTAGCAATAACACATTCTGCTGCAAACAGCAAAAATGCCAAGATAGTTTAAAACATCTGAGCTTTTCCTGCATCCTGAATGAGTGAAAAAATACTAATGGGATTGTCTATGGCTTAAGATGTTCGCTGTGGTGGGTGGAAAAAGCTACACTCCAAAAGAAAGTCAGAATTTATCATGTACTACCACATGCATTAATACAACTCTGAATTTCCACCCTTTTCAGCTAGCACTAGGCTGCTTAATATAAATAAATCTCATTTGAAGCACTGGTCATGGCCATCTACATAAAATGATTTCATTTGCATTTGCCATTACTTTTTCAATCCTTCCTCAAATTTTGCCTTTCTGTGAAGTTTATAGGAACCCTGCAGTTTCCATTTCCTGTTGAAACAAAGCCTAACTTAAGTACTTAATAAGATGCATATTTTTATTCCGTTCTTCTCTCCTTTTGCTACAATCTTCCCCAGTTAGTACTCCCTAAGATGCATGGGCTACTATATCTCCCAGCAATAGTTACAGTTGTTTAATGACCATCGGTTCAATGACTGTTTGAACTTACAACGGTGCTGAACAAGTGGTAATTATGACTGGTCATTAAAGTTCTGGCCACCGCAACACCCTGCCAGTCACCTGATTATGATTTGTGATTTTCCCTGCCAGCATTCCACAAACAAAGTCAATGGGGAAACCAGCAGGAAGTCAGATTTCACTTGAGGTCATTTAAAAACCAGTAGAGTCCTCACTTAACTACATGGTCTTTTCTTAACCATAGTAACCAGGGACTGCTTGGTGGTCATATGATGTCCTGTTTTATGACCACATTGCTTAGCTATGGAAATTCTGATCCCAATTACTGTCTATGGAGATTCTCAGTCATCCAGGTCATGGCTGTCCCAAAAGTACCTTTTTCAAGAGGCAACTGGACGTTCTGGTTTTTCTTTGAAGACATTTCGCTTCTCATCCAAGAAGCTTCTTCAGCGAAACATCTTCAAAGAAAAACCAGAAAGTCCAGTTGCCTCTTGAAAAAAGTACTTTTGGGATCCCAAAAGGATTAAATGTTATTAAATGAGGACTACCTGTATTGGCAAGAAAAGTCTAGAAGTTAATGTCCATATTTCTGAGGAGCACTCAAATTTGGAGAAGGCTGCCTTTATTACACAGATGTCCTGGGCTACAATGCTCAATATTTTCAACCATTCCCAGACTGATTAAAAATTCAGGAAGTTATAATACCAAATTAATATGGAAGGTACCAGAAAGGGGGAGAAATTGCTTTAAGGGCCATAATGATATTGTGATAATGATGGAGAACACCAGTTACAGGTAAAAGTTCCTATTTCAGTCCATTGCACAAGTATAACAGAGAAAATAAATCTTATTTGAAATCATGGAGGATTAGCACAAGCCAATAGCCCTGGATTGGATGGACCAGTTGTTTGTCCTTCATAAAAGGCAGCTTTTTATATTTCTTTATCTCTCTTCTGTTCAGTTTTAGAGCTGAGGTTTTTTGGAGATGAGATTACTGGTGTTTGTTTTTTTCCCTATCAAGTACTATTAGTGGCCGTGGTGGTAGTAATGGTAATGGTAAGGGGTAATGATAAGGTGATCTGTGCTAAGTGATTTAAGATGATCTTAATTGATCTGATGAGATTCTTGCAGGGGAAGCCTTGGAAGCCTGCAAAGAAATCAGCTAATGTTTTTCCAAGTAACATTTAGTGGTAAACTGTTTCTGAACCAGAGGTGGGTTTCAGCAGAACTGACCAGTTCTGGAGAACCAGTAGCGGAAATTTTGAGCAGTTCAGAGAACTGGTAAATACCACCTCTGACTGCCCCCGCCCCCATCTATTCTCTGCCTCCCGGGTCCCAGCTGATCGGGAGGAAATGGGAATTTTGCAGTAACCTTCCTCTGGAGTGGGGAGGGAATGGAGATTTTACAGTATCCTTCCCCTGCCACGCCCACCAAGCCATGCCACGCCCACCAAGCCACGTTGACAGAACCGGTAGTAAAAAATTTTGAATCCCACCACTGTTCTGAACATAGATATTTCATATCACAGGGATGAATAATAGGCTGTGATAGATATCTCCTATCTTTTGGTGGCATAAATTAGCATAAAAACACTGGGAGTTGCCAAAACATGTCAAGGGTATCAGGTTGGGAAATACAAACTTAAATTATTCTATCTGGAGACATTCCTCTTCTTGTCACTATGTCAAACTTCCCCTGGTCATTTGATGCACTTGCATCCTTACACTTGTTTTTTTGCTCCATGAAGATGCTGCATTCTCCAGTCACTTCAGCAGCCAAGTCCATAGCTGTATAATTTCAATGGTTCAACTTCAAGTTCTCCTTAGCTCTTCATTGCATCTAAGAGTACTCTCAAATTCATTCTTTGGTTCTACAGGGCTAGCTAACCCTCATTCTTTGCCAAGGACCAGGTGGCAAGTAAAAGAGCAGATATCTCTGAGAGACACACCCGAACTACAGTTTGTCATGGTGTGATGAGCTTTTTTTTTCCTTTTAGCAATGGATGTGCATTTTTTTCAGGTGATGCTTGATTAAAAAATCTTGAAATGTTGCATGTGCCAAAAAAAAGATGTTGCATGTGCCAAAAAAAAGACAATAATTTTTGAAAGTGAGCTGGCTAAAATCTTTTGAGGTCTTGCAAATAACAGCTTTCTGATATACTAATTATTTTTTTTTTACTTTTTTCTTTCAGATTTGAAGGTTCCAAGGAGCCGCCTGCCAAAGTC